AGCTCCATCAAATAAATATTTTCAATCTATTATCCAATTTGTTTCCAAAACAAAAAATTACGTTTCCAACCACGTTTCCAGTGCTGGAAAACGCGTTTCCAAAAAGTTTCCAAAATGGAATATTCCCCGAAACGCGTTTTCATCGCGTTTCCCCGCGTTTCCATCGCGTTTCCATTTCCGAAACGTTTCCGAAACGCGAAACGCACTTTGCTTGGAGTTTCCATGCAACATAGATAATAACTTGGTGAACAAATTGTTTACATATTTGATAATAGAAAATTTACCTATTTAACACAAGAAAATATACATAAATATTAACTTTCCTAAAGTCTATAAAAAAATATATTCAAGGGCGATCTCGTCTCCAAAGATGAATACAACACAACTATACTACCATTAATTAGTTCCGATTTAATAGATCTAATGCATTTCCGTAGATATACTCCTAAAAACTCAAAGAGTCACATTGCTTCCAACAAGTATGAAACCAAAAGAATGCCCACAATATGCAAAAGACACATATTCACTTTAGAGGTTCTTATCTTAACTTTTGAAAATTGACATTATATGACTTTTTCTCCATTTGGACGGCTAGGACTTTCTGTCCATGACTTGATTGGTCTATAATATCGAAGAAATTGAGTTCTTGTTTTCTTTTGTAAAAATTTTTAAATTGAGTTTTCGTTGTCTAATTGGTTTTCTTATAAGAGAAGTAATTTTCACTTGTCAATTGATATTATGGGCCAATCAGGAGTGGATAATGCTTCTTTTTGTTTGACTTTCACATAATCTAAGCTCAATATAGATTGCAAAACACAGACAAAAATTGGTTATATAATTCTCAATCCGGTTCACAAAATGTATAAGCTTTAGCATTTTTACACATTAATAGGTTCTCAAATATATATATGCATATGCTTCTATTTAATAAAATACTAATAAACAACACTATAATGTCTCATTTTCCTCCTTTTTATAATTTAGAGGAAAAAGTACAAGCCATTTTGATGTATAAATGACGTATGTAATACGTGGCAGTCGATCATTGTATTAATCGCATGTGATTATAGAAGCTTCTGACCGTACGGATGACAATAATTAACTATCAAAGTCCACTTTTGGCGACAATAATTAAATTGTTCGCACTTAATAATAGCTTTTGGGATATTTCTGACTAGTGAAACATGTAATAAAATATCACATATTTTGAATTGGACCACATATATGATACACTTCACAAATTCAAACCCGACTTGTATGTTGATATGATTAAACGTGGGCTGTAAGTATGCTCTACATTATTGACCAAAAGGATCAAATTGTTAACCATTCAGTGAAGTGATTAAACAAACTATTTATGTCGATTTTAGATATCTACACGAATAATTACTCTAATAATATCGTATTGTTGTTGACCGATCGCTAATAATAATATTTAGGAAAAGTAATAGGTATATAATCTAGTCAAAACAGTGTTGTAATTGATAAGTTATTGTGTTTTATCGAGGTTTTTGATTGATATCAACTTAGTTTAGACAATTAATTACTGAACTGTTTATAAAATTTTAACTAATGATTACTTAGTATCTTTCATATACATAGGTAATAAAGTAATTTTAAAATTTCCCCAAAAAAAATAAAAATAATCATACTTTTTAAAAAAATCGAATCTTATATTATGATTCAAAGCAACAATTTTTGTTTTACATTTGCTGTTAGCTAATTTTAAAACCAAGAAACAAAGATTTTATGATCTCCTAAAAGCCGTATTGAGCTACCGATTTCTCATGATCAATGAGTTTGATATGCAAGTTACCGATTGCGGATGCTCTCCATGCTTTCGATGGTTTTTATTTCTCCATATATGATACAACGGTGTTTGAAATAGTCCTCGAGGAGACCAATAAGTTGATTCCAATTTGATGGGTAATGGTAAAATTCATACTTCTACACTAGAAAAGTAAAACATCACTTAAAAACAAAAAAAATACCGTCTTAAACATTATTTATTATGAAACAAATTGGATACTAGCTTGTTATTGGTATACTAACTATTGGTAGAACAAAAACTAGATAGTGAATTTAGGAGGGAACTAAATTAGGTTAACCTTTTTAACCTCCACATTTTGACCACAACTTTTTGTTATTTTGGTTTTTGCGATCAAGTTGCTGTACAATATAAACACAAAATCGCGAAATATAGAAGAGAAAAACACGTTTTGTGTTTGTCAAGGACATGGAAACACACGCGCACCCACGAAAACAAACTGGAGCATGTAAAACAAAGTTTGCCTTTTTGCTTTGGTCCGAAATTCATATTACGCAACCGCCCAAATTTTTTTATATTTCATAGACTTTATCTGATTCTTTGTTTTGAAGTCAATAGATTCCACTTTCTTTCTCCCAACTTAATGATTTCTAAGCTATTTAGTAAGTGTTAACAATAAAATAGATTTTTGCCCCAAACTTTACAACCCCAATAATAATCTGGTTATCATATGGCAGCTTCTTCTTTTTCTTTGTTGTCTTTTAAATATTTTGCAAAACAACTAATCATACTTCTTTGTTTTGTTCATAAGATTACGGTAGTTTTTAAAAAAACTATTATTAGAAACACATCTAGTCAAGATCTTTTTCTTCTAAAATTATATTGGCCGTTTGACCAAAAAAAGAAGAAGTTATATTGGCCAAATATTTAGTTCTTTAACATATACCTTTTATAGTATTAATTATGTTTATTTGACACAAAACATAAGACTTTGGCTTAAAAATCATTAGGGTCTCTATAAGAAGAATCGCCAAAAAAGTCGTCGTCTCAATTTACAGCAATAAATAGTTGACAAATATAAATGTATAACTTTTGGAAGCTGCATTGAAATACAGTACATATATGACGATGAGAGGAAAATTTTCCCAAAATAATTCATAAGTCGAGCATTTATTTGATCACAAAATTATTTATGATACTTTTAGTTTTATTTCAAAACCCAACACACACAAAGTGTTATGTCTGTCCAATCCAGCAGTCAAAAAAATAACAGCTCATCCAAAAAAATCGTAACACAAGCGGGACCCACTGATCTATTATTGAGTTCCACGTGTTCTTATCTTAAATGGTGTCTGACACCTACACGTGTAAAGCAATCACAAAAACCTACGCCGTGATTTCAATAATTAGGAGGCCTTTTTTTCTTTTTGCATTAATTACTTGCCATTGCGTTGACACGTGTCACTTACTCATTAGATACTTTTTTCATAATCCCATGAAACAAATTTACTTCTGCACGTAAAGAGGATGGACATGTGGCCTCTCGTGCACGCGCCGGCAACTCTCCCCGGTTCCGGTCATCGAGTCTCTATAGTAACTTAAGGTCACAAATCTTCAACTAATTACTCGTTTATAGTTATTAGATAATATACCCTTGTTACTTGTATTTGATTTTTCTTTCTTAAACAGAATTTTAGCAAAATGTCAAGAAATATTATAAACCTAGGTATATAGGCTAGCTACTCTGCTATGTATTTGTGTTTATAAAGGATATTTAGAATAAAAAATTTGTGTAACTAGATTGTGAGCGAAAACATATGTTATTGACTTATTGTCGATACATTTGCTACAAACTTATGTTTTCATGTTGTTTCTTTGTTTTCTTTTTCTTACAGTATAAATTTATGTTTTGTTAGTATCTAGATGCAAATATTTTTTAATTGTTTTCAGATTATCATTCTATATTATAATAGTATATAAATACTTAAATTCATATCGAATAACTTAAATTGTTTTAACGCTTAGTTTTGTATTTAAAATTTTCTAAAACATGGATGCATGGAGTTACACATAGTATACTATTTAGTGTTGCAATGATAGCAGCTAGCCTTTGTAAGTCGTTGAGATGATACAAAATTATAAATGAATAATTAATTTAAAAAGTTACTTGAGATCTTGCTGGAAATGCATGTGGCGTAACTGTGATCATGGAAAACCAT